ACGGCAGCGTGTCAGCCTCCCCCCCAGGGGAGGGGAAAGGAGGGGAAAGGGAGGCTGAGGGAGTTTGTAGAGGGGGGAAGTTTAGGTGTGGGGGGGGGCGGGACTTAGCCGCCAGGTGGGAATCAGGTGAGAGTAGGGGCTTAAATAGATTTCCTGCCCCTCCCCAATTCACCAGACCCCACCCCTTTCCCAGAGCGGGGAGAGAACCCAGGAGTCCTTGCTCCCAGCCCCCCCTGCTCTAACCCACCAGCCCCACTCCCCTCCTAGAGCTGGGGAGAGAACCCAGGAGTCCTGGCTCCCGGCTCCCCCTGCTCTAACCCACAAGCCCCCACTCCCATCCCAGAGCCGGGGAGAGAACCCAGGCGTCCTGGCTCCCCGCCCAGAGATGCACGAACCTTTGGCGGGGGATGCTGCGGGGTGGGTGGGACCGATGGGGGGGGGCAGGGTCTTTTCCCCCAGCTCCATGCAGGGCTCCCCGGAACCGGCTGCCGGGTCACTGGCTGCTCATGTGACCAGCCCCCTTCCCCCCCCGGGTGTGACTTAATGGGCCGCTGTGAGCTCAGATCCTGCCTCCTCCCGCAGCCCTTCCCCATCCTCCGCTTCCTGCCGGCTCCACAGACACCCTGCGCTACACACACACACACACAGCCCCTGTGCGCGCACACACACACACACACTGCTCTGTGCTCACACACACACACACACACAGCCCCTGTGCGTGCACACATACAGCCCCTGTGCACACACACACACACACTGCTCTGTGCTCACACACACACACACACACACACTGCTCTGTGCTCACACACACACACACACACAGCCCCTGTGCGTGCACACATACAGCCCCTGTGCACACACACACAGCCCCTGTGCACACACACACACACACTGCTCTGTGCTCACACACACACACACACACACACACACTGCTCTGTGCTCACACACACACACACACTGCTCTGTGCTCACACACACAGACACACACACTGCTCTGTGCTCACACACACAGCCCCTCTGCACACACACACAGCCCCTCTGCACACACACTGCTCTGTGCTCACACACACACACTGCTCTGGGCACACA